CTTGATTCTGTCGCTGGTTTAATGAAGAAGTGTGAATTATTCTGAAAAATTCAAGTGAGTTTTCTTACATATCATCTGTATACAAAGTTCCCGATAAAGAGGGAGTTCCTCCAATGTTCATATTCGGTGTCAGTTTCCCAATTGTCCATTTCAGTTGCTACTTAATGGTCAGCGGCGTTATTACTTTATCAAAAAAAAAGACTCGTTTTTTTACCCGCGTTATTTGATCGAAGATACAATCACCACTCGACACATTTGTTGAGATGGAAGTCACTGCAACCGGGAACGAAATGCATATAATCACATTATCCAACGATTTAAAGGATGTGAACCTCGGCTGAACATGTATCTCCAGTTTCGCTGCAAATAAATTTTAGGTAAATAATCTGCAACCGGATTCGTAACATGTTTGTACCCGAATCTTTCGAAAAGGTGAGTTGAGGTTTCACGATAATTGGAACCATTAAAGAATTTGTCGTTGGTAATCGTACACTGTAAACGGATTGGTAATTTACAGCATCAAAGTTCAGAAAACTAAAGTTACTTGTATTGCATCAGATTAAACTGGCCATCCGGAGGAATAAACGAAACGAGTTTGTCCTTCTCAAACCGTTGACGTCTTTTCGTGTTGAATGACATTCAAAAGCATCGCAAATATAAATTATTTAAAAAAACGTACCTCACACACGGGTGCAAGCTCGTAAATCCGTCCTCGAAGATATTAGGGTTTTGAAACTTTACAATTAGATCCGGCATTCCTGTTCCATAAGCGATAATTAATTCGGCACAAGCAAATAAATATTTAATCACAACCAGAAAGTTTACTATTACAAAATATATGCCCATACACTTCCGCAGTTATTAATTTACCGGCACTTTTGCAAATTTTTAGTCCTTTCTAATTCGTTTGATTTGAATTACCACACACACACACCTGTCTGCGATCACATTCAATTCCTCAATAATATCAAAGAAGATCTCATTCTTTGTGTATTTGATCCCCAATGTTCGCCAAGGTACGCTGGTAAGTGCTCCAGTCGGAACCTTGGAAATCAAACTAAACGCAGATTTAATAAGTAAAAAATCAATAATTCTCAATAATTCAACTCACGTGGTGCCTAATGATACAGCATTGATCACTTTGCTAAGAATCGATGGAGGCGGAATGATATCATTCAGAACGCAAGGTTCCGTGATGTGAGGCAATCCATAATCCAGCGTTTCTTCGAGCAGTTCGTAAACAATCACAAAATTTTCTTTTAAAATCGGCTCGGATAATCCAGAAAAATAATCGTGTAAAATGTCTGCAAGACGATGTAAAAACTGAATAACGGAAAGTGGAGGAGCTTTGGAAAAAAGTTAATCTGGCTATCGATTAAGTTAGAAATCAGAATACCAACGTACTTTCGCTGCGAACAATAGCCAAAAAGATTAACCCATTTCGCACAATGCTGTGAAAATAAAATTCTTCGTCACCCTTTTTAGCCACTTCAACGGGCAAAGTTTCCGAATGCTGAATCGAAATGTTTGTTAGCGGGTATGGTATTGTTGATTTCCCATGTTTGAAGTCGTGGTCGGATGGAATTTTATCGACAAAGAGCTCAATTAGCGACCTGGGAATTTCAGAGCGCCAGTGCTTTTCGATTATCACTTGCCTAAACGATTCACAATGTTAGACAATAAATTGCTTCAATTAGCGCAATTAAATACCCAGAACTGTCCAAAATAAACAACGTGTCAATCATTATCAGAATTGGAAATTAAAGGCGTCATATAACCCTTTATAGTGTTTGCTTTATATTGCACCAAATCTAAAAATCTGTCAAAAATTCTCAGTTAGTATAGTGGCTAGTATCCCCGCCTGTCACGCGGGAGACCCGGGTTCAATTCCCGGACTGAGAGCTTTTCATTTTTTTAATTGAACATTTGCGCCTTTGAGTTTACATTTCTTTTTTGGATTGCGTTTATACTGATATTTTATTCGTTTATTGTTCTGTGTGTTTTCCTAATGGCCGTTCTTGAAGCCGAATTTTTATTATCGATTCTTGTTTATGTAAAAATATGCACTTTCTTTTCACGACTTTTCTTTAACAACGCCAACAGAGGCTGGTCTCAAAACCCGATCATTCAACATCCACCCAGTTTTCATTACCGCAGAAATTTTACCCGGCTCCATATCCTCACTCTCCGCTTGGAACAACGCTTGATGGAACAATGGATCAAACTTTTCGCCAATGGGATCAAACTCTTCAACGCCGTGTCTTTTCAAAGCTTTCAGTAACTCTACTCGCGTCATTGTAACTCCAGTATACAAGTTCTCTAGCGGTTCTGAAGTCTTACGAGCGTCCTCGGGAACTGAGTTTAAAGCGATCTTCAGTACATCTACGGATTCCAACAGATCGCTCGCGAATTTCTGAATAGCGTAGGTCGATGCCGCAGCTTTTTCTTTTGCTGTTCGATTTCGGAGGTTTTCCATATCAGCTAGCAATCTTCTATAAGCATCCTATTGAAAAATAGATAGAATGAGATTTCAATTCATACAAAAACATAACGATAACCGATAATCGATTCAAACCTGTAATTCAGCAACCTGCTTGTCTCGTTCTGCCAAACTTTTCTTGATTTTCCCGACATCTTCTTCACTATTACTGGCTCCCTGTGCGCTCGCAGAACTAGTTCCACTGCTACTATTCGTCTCCGAGGCGGATTCACCAGTTCCTGCTGTAGTTGCGGAAGATTCCGAAGCAGACGACAGGGAAGGAGCAGATGAATGCAAAGTACGAGATGGTGCGTTGGAATTTAGGAATGATGGTGCGGAAATTGGGGATTTGTTGAGGGCTGCAGCGGCAGCAAATTGTAACGAAGAAACGGACCGCGTCGAGAGCGCTTTTGGTACACCACTCTGAATTGAACGAGCAGCGGAAATTCGAACTGACTGTGATGGAGTTCGAATGGCAAGAACTCTGATAACTCTGGCTCCGGATGAGAAGTTCATGTTTCGGTTCTTTTAATTTTTTTTTGTTTGACAGCTACGGAATTTACCGGCTGACTCACCAACGCAACGTTTTAATACGTTCATCTACTTAATATCAATCAAATTATAACTATTCAGCGTCGCTAAGACAAAATATCCTTCATCACCCGTTTCCATGATGTTTCCCAATCTATTTCACGGAATGATCGTACTCCCTCTTGTAGTGTTGATAATTGTCTTGAATCCCGAGAAAAGTTTTCGAACAAAGCCTATAAATTTGTTAATTACATATAGAATTTTTTGTTATTAAATATACAACCATTAGATGATTGCATAGATCTGTAGAAGTCTGGAATATTAGTCCATTGTCGTTGTTTTTCACAAGTTCCGTGATCCTGCAATAATATGAACTCGATCTTTGGTAAAAATTATCAAGAATATAAAAAATTACGTGGGGTATTCCAGTGTAGCAACTGGTACTCCGCATCCAAACATATCAACGATTTTCATCGGAAGATCCAATCCCGAAGATGAAGTATGCAACGAAATACCAAAATCCGCGGCCGCCAAAAATTTGGGATAATCTTCCGGACTCAACCACACCGTCTGAATGTTCACGTTATTCCATTTCCGTTTCTGTAACCTTCTTTCAAAGTCTTCCTTTAACGGTCCTCTCCCAGAGATATAAACAAGCAACTTTGCATAATTTCTTTCGGGAGATTCGCCCTCTTCATCGGAAATTCTTACTCGTTCCCAGTCATCATCATCTGGAGTTCTTGGACGAATGTTTTTCGAAGTACGGGTATCATATTGTTCCAATGCATCCAAAAGTATTGAAAAATCTTCATCAGGTGTCCAAGATGTCGAACTGACGATAAATGCTGGTCGATTAACGGCGTAACTTACGAGACCATGGTCATCTCGCAGAGTTAGAACATTTTGTTTGGTGGCGAGTTTCTGGAGAGGTTCGAAAGTTGAGTAGAACTGGCCAAAAATTAAAGATGAATCAATTAAATTAATAAACGATAACATTGACGACAGGATGCTTACGGTGTGCTTTTCTTCGATACTTAGTGGTTGAAAATGAGGCGGAGCTCGATCGTGCAATACAATGATCTGACCACTTTAATAATGTTTCGAGTATTAGAGTAATAAACTCACAAATAATACTTAACAAACATACGAAATCTCAAATCGTTGTCGCAGAAAGTCGGCCATCGCATTTGATACAACCAAATGAGCATCCGAGTACTTTCCAAAAGATTTTTCATATCTATCGCAGCAATAAATTATTGATACTTATCACAGTCGGATGATTTCTCACTTACAGCTCTGCGCACTTTACAACAATGGTTTCGTTCCCTCGACTTAAACCCATTATTGTAAATCCGAAATTATGCCAGTCGATTATCAACTTCGACCCTTTAATTATTCGAACGATTTGCGCGATTACAAGCGTCGGAATAGACGGAGGGTTCTTAATCAAAATACCAGTTTTAAATGTCAGTGCAAAATAATTATCAATTAACGCACAAAAGTTCATGTACCTGCACCAACAAGAAATTGACAGTGTGTATTAAAAACAATAGAGTATATAATGTTATTCCAAACTGAACCACAACTCGTTTAATGCCCAACACCAAATATTGAAAATTACTGGTCGCAACTATTTTCTCCGGAGTCGGAATCCTCCGAAGCCTAATTTTTTCATGAGAGCGAATACGTTCTGGTATATCGGCAAATTTATCGGGAAAATATCCCAATAGCTCCACATTTATATCTGAATTGGCGGCGCTAAATGCGTGGTTGAGTATTCGTGGGGAGCGACTTAGGTCACCGAAAACTAGAATTGCGAGGTATTTTGAAGAAGAAACATTCCTGTATCTGATTAAAAGAATTATTCCTGCGATTCCGAAACTTGCAAAAATCAACCCCCACATTAGCCATTAAAAGTTCCGTCAAAAACTCTTATCCTTTATCATTATAATAGTTCAAATAAGATTGATTGAGAATAGTGGCTGTATATGTCACTTTGTCCGAGTGGTTAAGGAGGCGCCCTGCTAAGGCGTTGCGTTCTGCGCGCGCAGGTTCGAATCCTGCAGGTGACGCTTTTTCTTCCGTTTTAATATTCAAGTCAACATATTTTCATTCTTTTTCTGCTTCCAGTTTCGGCTTTAAGAGAGAAAATGAAGGGGGTAAGGGAAATGTCAAAAAACTCATTTTTTTTGAAATATATTGAAATTTTACTTAAAAATCACCATCTTTCAAATTAAATTCATTTGTTTTCAGTAGTAATTGCGTAACTTTTTTGGTGTGCCTAAAGTTTAACTATAAAAACTTTAGATCTATCCCGTTTCTCAAAACCATTCTTTACAAACATGTGGGTATCTTTTTGAACTGAAATCAGCAACTGGACACAAATAACACCCTCAGGTGTGGCTTCAACAGAGTCATATATCTTTTCCAATTTCCAGGAAATCGTAACAATTTTAGAATGGTAACAATCAATTTTTCTAGTTACCAACCATTTCTCAAACATTTCTTTAGTATTATATATGACAGACAGCCATGTATAATGAATAAAAGCAACATTTCCATCATTGCCAAAAGTGAAGATAACATCAGTACATTCAAAAGAGAGTAGCAACAATAATGACATGCTCATTCAATGTTTCTAGATTATCATACACAGCCATAAGAATTGGTTCAGCAACTTTCTTGCCTTTCTTCTTAAGCTTCTTTGGCAATGGCTTAATTAGAGTATGCAGTAGAAATGGCTTTGCAGACATTGGTGTATTGACAATAAGATTTATGACACTATCATTATCACTATCCTCATCCTCACTAGACTCAAAGAGATCTGCATTGCGTTTTTTAGTCTCAGTCGCCTCATTGTTACTAAAATAATTATATTAGTAAAATATTACACATAAATACATCTATATTTAGATTTGATCTTGTTAAAATGTATGCAAAAAATGTCCTTTGTGTACTTTGAAACTTGGGATCTGAGTCATAGACCGTTCCAGGTTTGTTGTCTGGGTCAATTTTTCTTTCCTTGAAAATAGACTCAGGTCTTCTTTGGGCAAGTGATTTCTTGGTCCACTTTGGCATTTTGTTGAGAGGAGTTGTTGATCATAATAAAGAATGTTTTTATTTTATGATTTTGATGTGGGAAGAGTGGATAGGAGTTAGACTATTAATAGAAAACTCTTTTTTCTCAAAATTTTCCAGAATTTTCAACTTTTAAAATATTTGGACAACTTTTGAAACCTTCTGGAATCTTCCAAAAGTGTTAAACTCTGGAAAAGGTAAAATTAAAACTGATTTTTCTAATTAATTTTAAATATAATTGAAATTTTATTGTGAAATAAAGTATAAAAT